GGTTCCGGCTTCCTTAAGTCTCATCGCTTTGTGCATGCCCCCTCCCCCCAAGTTCATGGTCACCGTGGCTTCTTCAAGGAACTGGAGAGATGCTTCTCAGAAGACATGAGCTGGGACAACCCAAAATGGCAGCTCCCCAAACTCCAAATCGTGACTCCCCCCCCCCCCACTGGCACCCTTCCAGGAGCCTGGCACACCCACTCAGACCGCACGCCTTGCACTGCAGCCTGCGTCAAAACATGCCTAAAACACCTGAGTTTGAAAAGAAAAACTTGAGCAGCAGAAGACGCACTGAAGGTAGGCACACCCCGTGGTATATAAATTGCATCTCAATAAAGCCGTTAGTTAAAAACACCTTCTTTAAGGATGAGTAGGAGGTTAACAGATGAATCTGGGAGGGAGGGAGGCAGTGCCGCCCCAGCCCCTGTCCCCACTCCCTCCAGACACCTGCTCTCATCCTGGGTGTCAGCTTGGCCCATGCTCCTCCTGGAGTCCCGGCAGGGGTGGCACTCCCACTCCCCACACCCCAGCGCCTGTCATGCTCACGGCTGTTTGATGCTCTCCCCACCCCCAGTCCAAGATCCGCCCCAGCTCAGGAGGCAGGAGGCCTGTGCCCATCCCTCCAGGCCCAGGGAGGAGCAGGCACAGAGCCTGTGCTCAGAGGGACAGGGTGAACCTGGGGGTGGCGGACAGGGAGCAAGATGACAACCTGTTTTTTTTTTGCTCCCAGGAGGGACAGCGTGGGGAGGGGAGGGGGGAAGGACGGGGAGGGGCAGCGCCACGGAGGGGACCCATTAGATGAGGGGGAAAGAGCACAAACACTGTCAGACCTCTAGATGGGAGGAGCTGGGAGGAGCTGGGAGCCAGCGCCAACAGGCAGAAGGGGGGTTTCGGTGATGGGGGCAATGTGGCTCTGCGTCCGTGCGTCCATGCGTTGGGTCTGAGCATTGGGACAGCTCCGGCTCGCTCACCTGACTTAGCACAGCCCCAGCTCAGGGGCACCCCCCTTGCTCAGGGGCACACAGAGCAAGGGAAGGGTCTGACAGGCAGCAGGGTGCAGAGGCAATCAGGGGAGACTTCCGGAGGGGAGCCAGGAACCCCCAAAGCCTTCTTCCTGTCTGCGGAACGCGGCAGCTTTATCCACGGAGGAAGCACGGAACAGTCCTGAGCGCTTCTTAGCCAAGGGCCAGAGACTCACCCCTTACCCTCCCACTTCCCGTCCAGGAGGCAGGAGGGGCTGTGCTGGCCGGTACCCCAGCTCGGGCTCCCGCCACCCTGGCTGCACCTCTGAGTGCAGGGAAGGCCCAGCCCTGGGCGAGCAAGTGGGGGGGGGGGCATGAAAAGAGCCCCAAGACGGCACCTTCGCTTCGCGGCCTGCGGTGGGCAGGGAAGGCTGAGCAGCGGGAGAGCCCGGCTCGCTGGGGAGGCGGCTGCAGCTGACAGGCCTCGGAAATGCAGAGGGATGAAGCTTTGCCTCAGAAACTCAATTAGACCTGAAAGGACACAGCAGTACGGCCTCGGAGAGGACTGACTGTGCCTTCGGGTGATTAAAACAGAATTCCTGAGACCTGCACCTTGCTCATCAGGGCCCAAGCAGCGTAGCGCCTGTCAAACGGTATTGATGGCTGGCGTGAGCCTCAAGCCTCATGCCACTAGGTTCCAACGTGGGGATTTGAGAGAAACCATCTCCCCGCGGGCCAGTGGCACCGAGACGGCGAAGCCCGCTCCGCGATCTCCGGATACAATTACCCTCTGTCATCCCCTAATTAGAAACCCAACCCAAAGGGCCACGTGAGATGCCAGCTGTGCAGCCTGCCGTGTGGGCATGAACACGCGAAGGAAACCCAACGAGAGGGTGGCAAATGGTGCATCCCCACACGGAGCACCAGGACAGCGCCCTCCTTCCCCTCGCACACGGCACCAGGTGCTACAAACCAGCAAAAGGCGCACAATCCCCCATCAAGTCTGGGCTGGCAGCTCAGAAAGCGGCGGCCTTACCCCACCGCCAACAAGCGTGATTTAGGGCCGTCTGGAATGCGAAGTCCTAATGCAGACCTGATCCCGGTGCAGATAACACTTCAGCGGCCAAGCAGCTGACTTCTGGTGCCAAGTGCGCTCTGGGAGTGAGCGTGAGTGCCCTGGATTGGCACGGGTTCATGAGTCGGTGCTGAGAACTCGGCACTTTACCACCAACGAGTGGCAGCACCAGGTCTTAGGCTAAGGGTGGGGGCAGGACCACAGGAGTAAGGAGGGCACGGACACTCCACACGGTCCTTTCTGTGAAGGGCAACCCTCGGAACGGTGCACGCGGGGCCGGAGGCAGTGGGTGCAGCCCCGGAGACAACGCTCCCGCGTCGCCAGGACGGAGCTCCATCCGCAGCAGCTCCAGGGAGAAGTGCGGCCGGGTGTGGGCAGCGGGGAGCCCACCCCTGGCCCCTCTTGGAGCTCTCATTCTGCACAGCCAGAAGGGGCATGCGGTAAATTCCGAAGGAATCTGCCCAGCTTCTGTTCCTCTCCGTCTCTCTCCAGGAGGGATTGTTGGGAATGAATGGATGGGTTGGCTAGAGTTTGGGCAAACCTCTGTTCTTCTGGGGTTTCGACTAATTCTTGTTTTCAGGTCAAAGGAGATTCCAGGCACCCGATTCCCAAAGCCAAGTCTCCCAAGTGATTAGGGCACACGGACGTCTATTTCCCGCCCCACAGAAAGCGTCGTGGGCCAGGCTGGCGCTCGGCTCCCAGCGAGCAGGAGGCAGAGCCCCCGGGCCTTCTCTCAGCACATTATTCAATGAAACCTCAAGAGCTCAGTAATTACAGGCACTTTCCAAAGCCAAGCAGAAACAGATCCAGAGCCAAAATACTGGTTTGCTTGAGACAAGGGGCTGGTTTTAACCAAGGGGGAAAAAAATAACCCAGCTTTTGGTCTGTCTTCTGAGAAAGCCACACAGATTTTTTAAAAATATTATTACTGAACCTGCTTATGGGGAAGAGAGTAGGATTCAGATCCAACGCCCCTTCTCTGCTAGGATATAAAACCCCTTTACCAAGCAGGTTGCAGCCTACGTGTGCCCCGGACCCCAAGCAGGAGGAGTTCGCATACTCTGTTCCCCCTACATGCCATCGCTCTGAGAGCTCAGAGCTTCTGTCCGGAGGAAGACAAACCAGAGGAACCAACCCAGAGTTTGCTGTGCTGGGTCCTGAAAGCCTGCAGAGGGCTCCAGCCCCCCCCCCCCCCCAACACACACACACACCAGGACACCTGCAGGAGGCCGTGGCCACCGTTCGACGCCCCTGCCCATGTCACGCCAGCTCCATTTTGCGAGTTCGTGCACCGTGAGGCTGGCTGCTCCCCTGGTGAGAGGTTATTTTGGTGTTCAGACTGGGCAGGGTCCTGAGAGGAAGGAACCACAGGACAGGGAGGGAAGGAATCGCTGGCCCTGGCAAAAGGCAGCTGCCAGATGGCCCTGCTGGGTCGGAGCAAGCGCTTCGGAGCTGTGGGCAGGGCTCTGAGGGTGCCTCGTGGGCAGCGCAGCGTGCACACTCCCTGCAGTTCAGTGGTGCAAGGAGCAGGTGGCAAAGCTACATATTTTTTAAATTAAGGTGTGGGACTAGGATGCAGGATCCCACAGGAACCCTCAGCCTCCTGCGCGAAGCTGATGGGAGGTGGGGGGTGGGGGGGCAGGAGGGTGTCCACCCCGGCAAACACCCTCCTCTAGGGGGAACAGGCCCAGCCAGATGCCCGGGGCACCATCGATCTGCACCTGCACCTGCACCTGCGGGGAGCGCCCCTCGCATCCATGGCTGTCAGATTCCAGAGCTGCACTCCCCGAGGACCAGCACTTGTTGAACAAAAGGGCTCCTCACAGCCGCTGCCTCCGCCTGGGAGAAGCGCCCCCGCTCGGCGGGCGCCGGGGCCTTCGTGGCTGGAACGGGGCCAGCGTCCACGCTCCTGCTCCTGCTCCTGCTGGCTGAGGCGGCCGGGAGGTGCGACGAGGAGGCGGTGGCGGCGGCGCCCCCAAACTTTCTCCAACCTCCGTGCTTTGCGGTTAAGTTAGGGCCGGGAGAGAGGCGCAAAACGCGCGCAGGGGGAATGTACGCGCCCCACCCATGATAAAGGGGGGAAAAAGGTTTAACAAAGAAACTCCGATCCCATGAACGTAGCACCTACTGGCGCCAGGCACGAGGCCAGGAGCTGCCTCCAGTGCGTTCTCCTGGACCTGTCACCGCAGACCCCGAGGGACCAGCTGCCCCAATTTGACAGAGAAGCGACTCACAGCCCAGGGAGGTGGCGTGTCCGCCGGGCGCGTGTGGGTCTGGCGATGCCAGGCTCCTGGCTCGGAAACAGCTCCCCCCCCCCGCCCCCCCACCCCGCCCGGCCGGGAAGGAGGAAGCAGACGGCCGCCGGGCCCCTCCCCCGGTCTGAACGCACAGGCGACCCACGTGGGCCGCGCGGACCTGCGGGGTTAGTGGGGCTGCCCCCCAGGCCCGTGCCCGCCCCCGGGACCCCAGCGGTCCCCCGGCGGCTCGGGGCTCCGCATTGCGCGGGGCAGGCGGGCACCGGGCTCGGAGCGCGGGGCTGGACCGCCCACGCCCACCCGCCACTCCAGCCCCACGCACAGCCGCTCCCACTTGACACCCGCCCCGCACCTGTCCCCACCGGCAACTGTCCCCGACACACAATCCACAAATGCCCCCCCCAAAATGTGCACACACGGATCCCCACGAGGAAACGCCACTCCAGGGCACACCACCGTTCCCGGTTCCCACGACTCCAGCGCACAGAGAAACGCAGGAACCCCCCAACACACACACACGCACGCACACGCTTACACGCTCACATGATTACACACTCACATGCTCATGCTTACACGCTCACATGCTTACACACTCTCATGCACATGCTTACACACTCACACGTAGCGAGCCAGTGTGTGTGAGCGTGCGACACGCGCGCACCCTCTGAGCCCGCACCCCCCGAGCCCCACAGCCCGCCGCTTGCCTACCTGCTCCAGGGCAGGACGCGTCCCCCGGCTTCCCGAACCCAAGTTGGGCGCCGCCGCGCGGGGGTAGGCGCCGGCCGCCGCCCGGGACTAGCGCGCTAAGGCCGGGAAGGGTGGCTAGGAGAGCGGGCCTCCTCGCGCCCGCAGCCGCCGCACCGGCCCGGAGCTCATCGCCGTCCAGAAAAACAAAAGGAAGCCGGCAGCAAGGGAGGGAGCGAGCCGGAGGCACCCGCCCGTCCGCCGCCCGCAGACGCCGCGGCCCGCCTGCCAGCCCCGGGAAGGAAGGGACGCGAGGCGGGGCCCGGAGGGGCGGCGAGGGGCGGGGCGCGGGGCCGGGGGCGGGGCGCGCGGTCGGGGGCGGGGCTCGTTGCCTAAGACTCGCCTCGGCCACGCCCCCAAATTAGCCCCGCCCGCCGACCGGCGCTCCGGCCACGCCCCCTCCATGGCCACGCCCCCCGCTGGCCGCTCGGCGCGGGACCCCTGCTCCGGTCCCCGCTGGCCCCCAGCTCCTCCAGCGCACTCTCAGCGGAGCGGCGCCCTGGCCCAGCCGCAGCCGCAGCCCCGCGTGGATTTCGGGGCGCGGGCGGGGGAGCGGGAGCCGAGCACTGGTCCCACCTCCGAACCCGTGGCCTCTGGCCTGCGGGTGTGGGAGAGGCCGGGAGGCGGTGCCCAGGAGGAGCCGGCCCCCGCCCGTTCCCCGCCTCCCGCCTCCCGCGGTCCCTGCAGGAAGTGCGGCCTGGGTGGCCCAGAGGGGAAGAGGCCGAGTCGTCCAGGGCGTCGCCTGGCACCTCTGACCCCGCCTGCCCCCTCCCGCCGCCGCCCGCCCGAGAGCAGACACCACCGACCTTCCGCGCCTCCTCGAGGGAGGGAACCCGCGTGCGGAGGAGGGGTCTGCACTGGGCTCCGGTGACTTCGATCACTCCGGGCCGTTTGCGCAGGCCCCTGAGGCTCCCTGGCCTCGGCTCCCTCCTACAACACGGGGAGGAAGAGGAGGAGGAGGAGGAGGAGAGGGAGGAGGAGGACCGGGGGGAGGAGGAGGAGGAGGAGGAGGAGGAGGAGGAGCGAGCTTCCTCGCCCTCCCCTCCCTGACGCCTGTGGGTCTCTAGAGGAAGGGGCTTGGCTGACAGCTCAGCCCCGGGCACAGGTGGCCTGGAGTCCCAGGGAGAGCAGACCGTGTTCCCCGGACCCCCTCCATCCCCTGCCCGTGGCACCTGCGTAGGAGGCAGTAACGGGGACTTCTCGCCCAGCAGCTCCGGAATCGAAAATCAGGGCCTTAGAAGAGCAAATATATCCACACTCCACCACTCCCACCACCACCCACCCAACCACCCCAAGCGAGGTAACCACAGAAACAGCCAGAAATGCGGAGCTGGGCCTTGGCGTTAGGCAGACAAACTGGCTTCCTGGCGTCTCCAGGGGAAAACTCAAATCCTCCTCCACCAAATCGGGGCGCGGGGCTCCCACTCCAGGAGGCTGCTCCCGAATCGGTGGACGGCGGCTCCCAGGGGGGTTGATGGGGCCTGGCAGGCACCCTGTCTCTTTGGGCAGAGAGCAAAGCCATGCCCACAGTGGTGATGCCATATGGAGCCAGCTCTGGCTCCGTTCTCCGCAGCCGGTGGCTAAAGTCATGGAGTGAGCTTCCTGTAGGTATCCAGGCAGAGGGTGGGGTTCCCGGTGAGGGGCCCTGGGTCAGATGCCCAGACCACGCCCAGCAGCCAGGCGGCAGCGGATCCTGGGTTAGCAGGAGTCGTTTAGGTTCTGCTGTGGTCACGCGTCTGACCCCACTGCGGTGCAGGTTGGCAGGTGTGGGGAAGACCACCCCCAGGTGCTCCGGAACTCCGCATCTTCCAGCTAGAGACCCACTACCCTCCTCCAGGGCCCCTGAACCTCCACTGGCCCTGGGAGCTCCAGCCAGCGGCCCAGGGCTCAGGGGTCAGTAGGAGCCAGGCCTGGAGGGGGCACACATCACTTCTGCCCACATCCACTGACCAGAGTTAGTCACAGGGCCCCCGGATGCGAGGGGTCTGGGAACTGCCAGGCGAAAGCAGCCGCTTTGGTGAGCTCATCACGGTGTCTCCCCCACAGAAACGGGGCCCCTTCTCCCACGCTCAGTCACAGGGCAACGCATGCCCCCACAAAGCTTGATGATGATGGTCACCTGCAAACCCTGACCACCTGCAAACGCAGCTCCTGGGAGAGGGTCAGGAAAGCCTCACAGAGCAGGTGGCCGTCTTGCTGGGCCTTAAAAGCAAGGAGGAGGGGAGGCATGGCAGATGCAGGCGAGAGGCAGGGCGGGCGGTGAGAAAGCTCAGGGGGAGAGCGCAGACGCAGACTGAGCCTGTTCCTGGACCCTGCGTCTCCCACTGACCGCCTCCGCACCTGGCCTGCGGGGCTGTTCTCTCCCCGGGCCTGGCTTCCCCTCTCTCCCAGCCGTCGGAGCCTACCTAGCCCTCGAGGCTCAGTTGAGCTCTCAACTAGCCCTCTGGCCTCCCAGCTCACACGTGCTTCTCCCTTCTCTGAATGGGCATGCGTCTGCCGTATCTCAGCTTGTGAGATGCAACCTGCTCTCTTCCTTTTGTGTCTACGGCACCTTCAGGACCAGGACCGTAAACCCTGACGAAGCTTCGTGGAGGGAGGGTGGATAGCAGTCACTTAGTAAGTACTTGGGCATTTAACAAACCAGAGCCAATAAAGCAAAGTCGGGGTCTGGTATCGGATTCGTTTCCGGGGGCTGTCATCACAAAGCACCGCCGGCTGAGTGGCTTCAAGGACAGGCATTTTTTGTCTTAGAGGCCTGGAGGCCACAAGTCCACGGCCAAGGTGTCAGCAGGGCTGGCTCCTTCCGAGGGCCGTAAGGAAGAGTCTGGGCCGGGCCTTCCCCCGGCTTCTGTCACCGTGGGTGCTGCTCGGCTGTACACCGCTGTCTCCAGCCCGCATTTCACATGGCCTTCCCTCCGTGGCTGTCTGTCTGAGTTCAGATTCCCCCTTCTTATGAGGACACCAGTTGCATGGATTTGAGCCCACCCCTCCCTCAACGCTCTCTCCCTAACGCGATCATCCGTAAGCACCTATTTCCAAATAAGATCACCTCCACCGGCATCAGAGGTTAGGCCTTCACCCTGTTGATGGGGGGAGGTGGGGGGCAATTGGACACATCATGAGCGCCACACCACACAAACAATCCGGCTTCCACACGATGGCTGCAGGAACCGAAAGGTGGGAACAACGGATTGTTCTTAATCACAGTCATATCTGCCTTCGTTTTTTGAGGCCCTTTGACCTATGCCACTTCCCCTGTGCTTGAACGTATCCCCACACGTTACAGATGAGGACACCTATGCTTGGAGAAGTGAGATGTCCACGTCACATATCAGGATCAGTGACAACAGGTCTAAAAGCCAGATTCAGTGTCGCTGGGCTGGGCCCACGTGGGCTTGGGAAAAAGCAGTATTTTAAAAAGTTACGTGTGGCACGCTGATGAACTTGAGTGTGTACCCTACTAGGGAGGGCTTTCCAATCGGCATCGTCTAGCTCCCAGACGTTTGAGGAAGTGGGGGCCAGCTTGCTTCCAGGTCCGCTTTTGCTTCTGTCGCTGTTTCATTTGTCGTTACAGCGGGGACAAGTGTGGCTTCTGGGATAGAGGAAGCGATTTTCCTGAGGGCAGAGGCGGCACTTCTGGCTGCCCGCCCTTCCCCTGACCCCGGAGGCTCAAAGCAGAGAACCAGCCACAGAACATGCTGGAAGGAATCACTGGATCCCGCCTGGAGTCAGAGGTGGGGACATCGGGTCACTGGGCCATCTTGCTTATACCTGAGGACCACCCGTGTTCATGGCCCACGTGTCACCCAGGAAGTGTCACTCAGAGGCACACTCTGATGGGTCCCCTTCCTCCTCCATCCTGGGGAGCTCCAGGGCATCAAGAAAAACTAGTGTCCCTTCTCCTAGAGCAACTGCTGCGGGTGGCATTGTACCTCCCACAGATTCATTCCTTGGAGCCCTCACCCCCAGAGGGCCTGTTGGGACTTTTAGGAGGAAATCAACAGTAAATGATGTCACAAGGGTGGGGCCCTAGTCCCATAAGATTGGTGGCCTTACAGGAAAGGAAGAGAGAATGCGATCTCTCTCTCTCTCTCCACAGAAGCCACTCTAGGACGAAGGAAGGCAGCGCCCTGCCAGCCAGGCAGAGAGTCCTCACAGATTCCGAAGCAGGCGGCACCTAGATCGTGGGCTTCCAGCCTCAGGGGCTGTGAGGAATCCATGTCTCTTGCTTCAGGCCCCTCCAGCCTGAGGCGCCCTGTGGTGGCAGCGGAGCTAAGACACATACATGCCTGTGCATCCTCATCTGCTGCCCCCACCTGCCCTGCTGCCCCTCTCCAATCTCAAGGCTGTGGTCCCTGGCCCTGTGCTCAGGACTAGCCCTTTGAGAACCCTCTCTTGTTCCTTGAGACCCTGCCCTCCTGTCCCTGCTCCCTGCCAGGGCCTCTGGGGAGCAGGGTGAGAGGGTGGCAGGGGTGACAGGGCGCCTGGCTTGCCTGAGGGCTCGGGGTCTGGACTTGTCTCTGGCCACCAGAGGAAGGTGAGCAGGGTTCCAGATCAGGTCGCCTGGAGGCAGGGCCCGGCGCCTGCAGCCAGTTGCATCAGGACCATGGGGCGGCCCTTAAACCCATCTGGGCCTCTAGAACCACCGCCTGGGAGGGCTGAGAGGCTTACATGGGTAGCACCGGGCACGCGCACGTCCAGCCCAGCGCATTCTCCGCAGCAGCCCCAGCCAAGCCCGTGCAGGCTTCTGAGGGCCTCACGTGTAAAATCTGGATGTTAAGGTCTCCCTTGGACTCAAGGAGGCGGTCACGGTGGCTTGAGAGACGCTCACTCAGCGATAAGCACATCACCTTCCTCTTCAGCGACTGGTTAGGACAGACGTTTAAAGGAACCAGCCCAGTGACTCTGTTGGGAGACGTGGATGCTGGCACTTGGTAGCTGTGTCTCCTGAACAAGATTCATTTTCAGTGAAGGAACCTGGGGGGGGGGGGGGGGGACAGTTCTGCTCACCTAGCCGCTCTGTGTCCTCAGGATCGCTCGGCGCTCAGAGCGGGTGGAGGGGCTCAGAGGTGCCAGGAACCGGAGTGGCTTGTGTGCCACTGAGGTGCACGCCCGGGGCTGCGGGAAGGAGGCTCTGCACGAGGTGGCCGGGCCGGGCCGGGCTGGACTAGGCCCCAGGGCAGATGTGCGGTGCTGGTTGCACAGCTGGATGGACGAGGGCCTGTGTCCGTGCCCTGCATGACCCGAGCACAATGTGGTT